TTTTTTTTTTTTTTTTTTTTTTTTTCACTCTTTCTTCATTTTCCTCCTTCTTCCCCATCTCTCCTCTTTTTTTCCGTCTTTTCGTGTCTTTTTTCGTATCTTCCTCTTTCATTCATATGCAACAAGCGACGTTTAATAATCCTACGTAAAACTATGCGTTAACACGCCTATTTAATTGCGGGCACGAGGGGTTAAGTATATATTTACGTTACGCGCTTAAATACAATTGCTAATTAGTTTTACAATACGTTCAACATTTTTTGTCCTCCTGATTTCACTAAGTACCGTTATCTTTTTTCTTTTTTTTTTTGTTAACAACAACAGACTTACTTAACTCTAATTATGTTTCTGGTTTGTTACTTTCTAAGGCCTTGTTTCTAGCACAAATCCTGCTGTCGCTAAGGCAGTGGCTCTTTAAACTTTCTCTCTCTCTCTTTCATTCTTTCTTTCATTCTCTCTCTCTCTCTCTCTCTCTCTCTCTCTCTTCATTTATCCATTCATTCTTCCATGCATGCATTCATACTTGTATACGCACGTGCTTGATCTTTTTTTTTTTTTTTTATCTATATAATTCGTTCGTTACGCGATGAATCGTGACAGACTTCCGGTCGATCGAAGGACGCGCGAACAATCGAGTTTCTTAAAGAAACGCCATACTGAACGACCGAAAAAACTTGAGGCCGGATTTTTTTTGTTTTTTTTTTTTTTTCCGTGATTTTGATCCGTGAAAAATGTGGATTGTGGATCGCTTACATTCAACCTTCCCGGCTTCGAAATGCAATCTTTCGAATTCACATCTTCGTGTTAAGAAAGCAGATGAGAGTGGGCGAGCGAGCGAGCAAACGAGCGAGCGAGAGAGAGAGAGAGAGAGAGAGAGAGAGAGAGAGAGAGAGAGAGAGAGAGAGAGAGAGAGAGAGAGAGAGACGAGATTAAGAGAAAACGAAACACTTTTAAAATTTTTAACGATAAAATTATGTATTCCTCGCTGTTAGAATAATTCTATTTAACATTTCGAAATTATAACATAATTATTAACATAACATTTCTAACTCGAATAATTGTTATTTACTTTCTTATTTTTTTCTGACTCGAAGATATTTCGAATATCACGTGACACACGTTGAAAAATAAAGAAGAAGAAAAGAAAAAACTCAGGACTCGTGTCAATTTTTTTCTTTTTTTTTTTTTTCATCGACAATGGTAGATATAAGTCTTGAGAGGACGTAATAATCGAAGTAACGGGAGGACGTAGCCAGTTACGATACCACCACAATTACTACGACTACGTAGATGTCGGCATCAACGTCGACGTAGCTGCCCTGTTTTATGCGAGAGCTCTACGTTGGCCGAGATCAATACGTAGTCTGTGGTCCTCTTGCCTCTCTCCCTCCGCTACGCACACACATTGTATGCACGTACACGCACACGTGCACCCATCCCCATCAACATTTCAACCTCCCCTCCCTCTCCTCTCCTTTCCCGTCCTCCCATATAACGTGTCATCCTCTTTCTCTCACCGCGATTTTATCGCACCACTCTTCTCTCACTCTTCCATTTCTCTCATTTTTTCATTCACTTGGCTAGCTCCTATCAAAACTTCAATTACTGCTCAAACTTATTCTTTCTTCTTTTTTTTCGAACTTCCACCGGATAGTCAGCTTTTATTCATCCCATGTTTCCTTTTCCTCGTGTCTTTCTTCTCTCTCTCTCTCTCTCTCTCTCTCTCTCTCTCTCTCTTTCTCTCTCTATATTTTTATTACCATTACAGCAGATTTTGGAGGGTCGACACGTATAACGTGTGATTTTCTTTTTTTTTTTTTCTTTTTTTTGGGAGAGCGAAAGAAAAGAGAAGCAACTCTGTAAATGATTATATACTATATCCTAATAAGACTAACGAGTTTAAGGTATTGTCTAAATGCTTCATCAACGATTGACGATTGGATGGATATTCTTAACTTCCTCTTGACATCGATGCACTACTATTATCTATGTACATAATAGCCGCACTGTTTTTTCATCTTTTTCCAACTCGTTCCTTTGTTTATATAACGCGCGATAAATAATAAGAAACGTATAAAATAAAAATAAAAAAAAAAAAAATAAAATGGCGCTCGGATTCTTTTCAAGAAGATGAAGAAAGCGTTAGAAAATGCACAACTACGAAAATTTTACTACGATTAGAGAGGGAATGGAAGGTTATTATAGCGGATTAAAATTGAGAACGTTAGAGGGGAGAAGCGAAATCCTATATTTTGTGCGTTTTTGGAGAGGGTGGAAGGGGTTGAGGATCTCTTAATTTTTTTTTGCACGAATCACACAATATCTACACAGATTTCTGGTACGATGTATTATTATCGCATCGCGTTGTTGGTTTTCTCGCGAAGAAAAGTGCGAAAGAAAACGAGAAGAAGGAAGTAAAAAAAAGATTAATTTCCAGCAACGGATCCAGTAAAAAAGAGTAGAGAGGGAATCAAAGGGATTGGATCAGCTTCAAGCTTCAAGATTTTTTAATTTTTTTTTTTTAACGATATTATCTTCCTTTAATCCTATTCCCATAGTTTATCATTTTCTCTTTGTAATGTGAAAATAATATTCCTGTTGATAAACAGGAATTCGTGTTGGAAATTAATTTTCGTTTCAAAAGGAAGAGGGGAAAGAAATTCGACAGACACATCGAGGAATGCTTAAACAGATTCTCATCGCCCATTTTTTTTTTTTTTCTAGAGAAATATCGTACGAAATATCACGTGTTAAACGTTAAACACGTTACGATCGTTGTTGACATTCGCGAAAAATGATTAATGATGGCGGGATGACGAGTGTCGTCAATCGATTCGCGATTAGAGAGAATTGGAAACGAGAACATGCGCAAGATCGCCTTCTTTTCAAATAAGAATAGTGAAAAGAAGAAAAAAAAAAAAAGAAAGAAAGAAAGGAGGGAGGAGATGGACAATAGAGAAAGCGCTATCGTAGAGATTTTCGAGCAGAGAGTTTCGAGGATCGATTGGAATGTAGACGCGACCATTTAAAGACGCGTTCTCTGAGAAGGCTCCTTAAGAAACGAGAGCTCTCGAAACGATGTCTGAAAACGCAGCTGCGATTTGGTCAGTGATCAACCGTAATAACGCGTTTCTTGCGAAAAGGATTTTTGCACGCTTTTGCCACACCGGTTCCATTGCTTTTTCATTGCTCGCTTTCGCTGCTTAATAGTTTAATCTATACGAAAAAATTATATTATTCGCGATTAACAGTGCGAAAATACCCTTTAAATACTCTGCCTACTCGTTTTTCTTTTTTTTCCCCCCTTTCGTTAAATGGTCCAAGAACATTGCTTATCATTTTCTAAATGAGAGAACGAACGAACGAACGAACGAACGAACGAACGAACGAACGAGTGATACGTGATCCACGAGAACGATAAATTTCGAGAGGAAAAAAAAGGAAAGACGTTTTCTAACGTTCGTACGAATGAATTTTATCGTTCTTCGGAGATACGGGAAGCGTGTCGATAGAGAGAAGAAATCGAGCGGAAGTTGGGCAAGACATGATCGACAAGAAAAATGAGAACAGTTCGACCGATATAGAAAGAGGAAGAGATAACAATGAGAGAAGGGTAAAAAGATTCTTTTTTTTTTTTTTTTTTTTTTTTTCAACGGATTCATCGTTGTTTCCAAGAAATTTCCGAAACGGTCGAAATTTAATAAGGGTTTCAGAAATTGTCAATCTCGAAAGATAAGATAAGAATTTAAATTTGCTCTAAACGATAACGTGCGCCCAAGGTACGCGCATTTCCGATCAAAAAAAGAATTTTGGTTACGCTTAGATACGCTTACGTGTAAGTATATTACACGTAATTTAACGAAAATAAAAGTGTATCTCGTGTAACAATGATCGATGGATCAAGCGCGTTTACAATTCCACCTTGATTTACAGGGGGATTCGTTCATTTGTTTGGAACTCATTCTTAAATGTCTGTTTTCGAAATGTTCTGTTCACGTCGAAAGTTTTTTAATCCAATAGCCAATTAGATGGCCACGTTCGAGGAAAAAGAATAAGCGATTTTTACACCTATCGGCTATCGGCTTTTCTTTTTCTCCATTTTTCTTCTCGAATCATCGTTGTTCGTACGTACGGAGTGCTTTTCTTTCCTTTCTTTCTTTCCCATTTTTTTCTTCTTTCTTTCTTTTTTTTTTTTCTTTTAAATTTCATCTTTCTCGATCCCCTTTCCTTCACAACTTCGCGACGTTGAATCGTACATTTGATCGAATTGCCGTTTTCTTTTTCCTTTTAAGACGTTCCAAGTTATTGCTTTAACGGATAACCGCTTTTACGGATTCGTCTGTTGTTTTTAAGCCAAAAAAATGTAGCTCGTGTAATTACGTTTTGCATTTATTGTGCGTTTTTATCGTACCTTTCGTCACCGAAAATTAATAGCTTTAAAATATAATGTGCACCGTGTCCATCAACTTTTTCTCTTACCGACCGAGTAGATGTCTCTCATCGGCGTTCGATCGTTATTGGCCATGCATTTTTTTCTTTTTACTTTTTTTTTTTTCTCTCTAAATATCGTATATATATAT